ATGAAATCTGAAATTTAAAAAAAAAAAAAACAAAAAACAAAAAAACCAACAAATACGTTTCCATCACCAAACAACAAAGTAAAATAAACATGAATATACCTTCAAACGTCTTTGATTCAACGACTACTTTACGATTTTTTGTCACGAACAACAATCGCTTTTTTTTTCCGTCGCAAGTGTTTTTTGGTATGATAATCCTGGTTTTGGTACCCACGAATCTGTTCACGACGATTCTCCCGCTTTCTGATGTTGAATTCGTGATTTCCTGGATTATAGGAAATCACGATCGCCCTCTTTTTCATTTTTTTTCTGTTGAACGTGTTTTACCATATTTTTTGCGTCAATCTCGTTTGATGACTTTCAATATATGGAGAGAGAATAAAGATATCTCATGATTTATTTACTATCTCGTAATTGTGAAAAAAAAAATCACTACTAATTCCTCTTTTGATTATGTTTCCTACTAATTGTATTTATGTAAATATTTCAAGTCTAGGGGTTATGTATGTATTTTTCCCTATTGATTGAAACTTCAAAAGCCATGAGAAGCGTGATTTTGTTGAGGCGATATATTTGGTACATTTTTGTCTTCCTTTTTATGGTGCACAAACATGTGGCCATATTTGGGATTTTTATTTATTTATTTATTTTTTTTTTGTTCTCTTTATGGTGTACAAACATTTGATTATTATTCGTTCGTTGTTGTTGTATATTTCTACATAGACGTGGCAATGGGCCAGCCCGGCTCGTCGTCCCAACTCGGCCCAGCCCGTAGGTTGCTGGTTCCAAGAACCGACACCGTGACTTTACGGATCCTATACATGTCCATTTTTTTCTTTGCCCCGGCGGTCCGGGACCGGGCCTAGACAAGGCCAGTTTTACGGACCGGTCCTTGGTTTTTGGCGGGCCGGTTAAGGGATGGGAGGCCCGCCGGCCTGTTGAATGGCCTATGTCTATTTCTACTTAACCTTTATGATATATGCGCATCATATAATTTATTTTATTTTATTTTATTTTATTTTTATCATTTTTTGCATTGTTATTCGTTCTTTTACAGAGCTACCCGCAGTAAATTTTGAAAATTGGATACACACTCGCAGTAAATTCCATGGTCAATAATGTTACTGGGTAACAATCACCAATCCTTAAACATAACATTCATCAAACAATCCGAAACACCACCACCTTTTACATATGATTTTTCATCAATATGGTCAGTACACAACATCATACCACGCTTAGCAATCATCATTTGCACAGACAAAGATATCATCACATCACAGTTTGGTTTTCTGGA